CTTAGCAGGATTTATATTTTTAAATGCCATTTAGAAAGTTACGAAAACCGGTATGTCACGCTGCCTAGCGGAAGAGCCTTGAAGCTTGATTATAAAGTCTACTACTTTGCCGTACGCAGCGCGCGCAGTCTGATGCTGTCATGTGCGCCAAGATTAATCCTCAAAACTACAGTGTGTATAATGTTGCCCGGTCCCACTCGATTCTGTGCTGCTCACGGTGTATATAAGGAGCTGCACGGTGAAAAGCGGCGCTGCCATCGCGGCCGCCAGCGTAGCGTGTGAAGCCCGGGAGCATACGCGTAGGAGTGCGCGCATGCGCTGTAAACCACCGCGCTCGAACAACTCTCGTGCTCACTGTTTGCAGCATGCGTTGTTTGTATACGTGCGTGTATATCGTCGTCATCATCATCATCATCGTAATCATCATCATCAGCCTGATGATGTGTGACGTGTGTGTATATACGGCTTCATATTCGCCACAGATGGAAACAGCCTGATCGCAAATGTGTCGCGGCGTTTTCTACGTCACCTGAGTGAGACACTCTAACCGGTAAGCTTTCCGCTGCGCTAAAGAAAATAGCTACACCGTAGAAATTAGTTGTCGCTCCCTTTAAATGCAGTAACTCAGCAGCGTAAAAGAAGGAGTTGATGAAGATGGCAATTATTGAAGGAGGAATAAGGTCACGTGGACGGAGATATATCAAACGCGAATGCGCACAGCGCGCAATGATGGTCGTTGCCGCAAACAAGCTAAACGGAGACCAGCCACCTGGGAGAGTGGTACTACCGTTCGAAGAATACTTGGCGCTGCTTCAATACTTTTTGTTTTAATTAAAAAGACAAATTAAGCTCTTGTGAAAATAAAGTTCTGGTAAAAAAAAAACACAACTGATTGGGCTTGTTCGTAGAGACACGCCGCGGCACAAAATGTGGGGCTCAACGGTCAGAAAAGCTGTAGTTAACGTTTTACTTTGTATGCGCAGGCCGTCAATTAATAACGTTATTTCAACACGGAGACGACCGAGGAAAGCGTCGGCCTAAATCATGACGTCTTAACAAGCGGAATTCGTTTCTCCTAGGCCAGATATGCTGTTCGTTTATCCCCCGTTGGTCACATCAGGTCGCCATCTTGTTGCGACCCCTTTGTTTTATCCCGTTTTTTTTTTGTGATAAATAGTGACATTGAAAATAGCGAGAAATTGCTCCAGTCAGCCTAATTTTGATTAATATAGCCAGTTAAGCTTCCTAGAGCTGTCTTAAGGGGAGCCTTGCTAAGTGAAGCCTGGCCAATCCAATGCATTTCCAGAGAAGTAAAACATAGCAGAGACGCTTCATCGGGTTTTCTCACTTATGTTTGTGCATTTAATTCGAACTTCTATACGTCGTGCAGGAGTAAGCGTTGGCTCAAGAAGAGGTCGTGAATGACTCTCGGTTCTCGTGCTGTTTGAAAAAAAAAAGCGATGAAAGATTAAGCCGTTTGTGCGGAATTTTCGCCCGTGACCCACGTTAGCAAAAAAGGTTCTGTCGGGTCAGTTCACGTATTTAAGGGCGTAACGCAATCGAACCAAAGCTGAGAAAGGGCATAGAGGCGACATAAACTTCGTTCATGTCTGTCACCGCTTTGCCTTCGTTTTATTCAGGTCTCGTTGCACTACTTTTATGGAAAAAAAAATATCTCAAGTCCGCAAAATAAAAAAAAAAATCAAATCTTTTACCTCCCCTTATCAGAACAGGTTTGACAAGTGCGAGGATGAATCAGCAAGAACAATGAGGGAAAAAAATATGGCTGATTGAAATGTCTGAGCTTTTGGATATACGGTAGAAGTAGAAAGAGCTGCCTTCATTCAGAGATCCATCAAAAACCTGTCATGGCGTCGCGTATGTTTGCTTCTGGTGATGGAATAGGTTGTATGAGAGAAGCACAGCACTGTCTGTGCACTTTGTAGTTATATACCGGCTTAACAAGCTTCTTCTGTGGTCTTTGTTCGATGCAGCAATAGGATAATTCTTCGAAAGAGTGAGTAGAACGTACCGTTTTAAGAGATTTCGCTATGAATAAAATAACTTGATAAAATATCGTCTTTCAACGGAAAAGAGCTGACTCCTCTAATCGGTCAGCAGTGAAAGTTTCTTCTCGGACGAAGTAAAACATGTTTGCTTATTTTGTACAAATCAGGAATAACACTCATTTTATAGACTCTATCAATCTTTGCAATTATTTTATTGTAACTGAACTATTAGGTGCTTGAATTATGAGGTTCCTTATTTCGAGCTGTCTTTCAGAAGGGACAAGTGCACTTTGTTCTCCCCTGCTCGCTCAAGTATATTTCCAAAACAACACATCAACAGCGGTAGTTGCAGTTTCGTAAACAAAAAAATAACGAAATAACTGAGGTCTGCTCCATCCGTCGTAAAGAAGCGCGCGGGTCACGTCATAAGCGGCCTCTCAGTGACAATGCCGCAAGAGACGCCTCGTCCCTGCGTCGTACACGGCGGCCGCGCATTGTGTCATTGTGCCGGCTTTTATTAAATTCCCTCCTGTTGGCGTCGGGGCGACGTCCTGCCGCCTAAAATGGGGCGCGGCCCAGCGATTTTTTCTTTTTTATTCGTTTTTTTGGACAACGCTGGCGACGACAAAGCCGTCCGGGACCCCTAGCTCCCGCTCTGGACAGCTCGTCGATCTCGTGCGATCGACCGCACCACAAAAACGTGCGTCCTTTACGAGCATCGTGAATATTAACTGATCCGCGCGCGCAACAACATCCGGGCCTGTTCGGCCAAAGAAGGATGTCGCCTGGTGAATTTCACGAGTCGACGACGTCTTCGAGATCTCTATAGCAACCGCAGTGGTGCGCTCCGCGCACCACTGCGCGAGAAAAACACGCGTTCGCTTCGCAATAGCGGCACACGTTGTAGATACAACGAGAGCGCGCGATCGGCCCCTCCACTCAGTTTTACGGCCTCCCAAAACAAAGACTCCAAATGCGCGGCCAGGGTGCGAACGTCTCGCGAGGAGAAAATGGTGAGGGGTGGGTGCAAAGATGGAGACGCGCGATTGGGGCCGATGCACCGGATACGCGCCGGACTCTCCGCTGACAACGATCAAGAGGGGCCGATGAACCGCGCTTCCGACACTCAAAAGACCGTGCGTCTCAATTGTATGCCCTCGCGTGCGAGGCAGGGCAGCGACGACAAAGCGGCGCTTGCAACTTTTTCGGGGTTGTCCGCCGCTGCGGCGGCGTACCACCACCGCCGAACAGCAACCACCACCACTCCCCACCACTGGCGCTACGTTTTTCGACGCCGGGCACCCTTGCGCCCCAAGTGAGCGGCCTCCCCGGTTATCCTTTCTTTCTCGGACCGCGATGTCGCCTCTCGGCTAGGGACAACGCCCAGTGCCCCGAAAATCCGCGCACCCAAGTTTGGGTTGACCGTGCGTCGGGACACTCACCTTTTGCGGGCGCACTCAGCGACAGCGTCGGGATGACCGTTGGTCGTCGGCTCGCGTCCCTCTTCTTCGGCGAAGCGGGCGCGCCATGGCGGTTCTACGTGCTGCTCGCCTTGCTCGCCGCTTGCTGCTGCTGCTAGGCCTCGCGATGCTGGCGCCGGTCGATGCGTCCGGACCTCCCCCCACACAGAGCCCTTTCTCTCTCTCGCTCTTACTCGCTGGCCCAAGCTCCGCCGCCTGCAGAGGTCGCTCTGCCGCGCATGTAGTTATACTGCGGCCGAGCCAGCTTTACAGGGGCGCAGCCTCCCTTGCCCTTATTATTCTATTCCCTCGCCATCGCTTTTCTCTTTCGTTTCGCTCGGACGTCCTTTCGGCCTAGCCTCGCATATCTGAAGTGACGCCTGACGCCCGCTGGCAGGCCTGGCTGAACGTAGTTCCAAAAAATGACAAAAGTAATAAGACAAAAAAAAAAGCGGGGCGACCGCGCATGCTGGTAGGGAAGCCGGCACTGCGGGGATTCTCGTCTCGGTTGCCCCCTTATCGTGTTTCGCTTTGTTTCTCGAGGGAGCGCTTTAAAGTGAAAGTTTAAGGCGCAGCGTTGAGAGCGGGCTTATGTATTGAGCTGTATTTCTTTTACTCGCAGCTCGCTCGTGCGTGTATGTTCTCGGCACTATCTTCGGAGACGTCGAGACGAAAAAATAAAAGAGATAGTGTAGTGGGCGCGCATATCACGTCTCCTGTCATCCTCCGAACCCTAGGTCGGATGTTCCGAGATAACACGCGACACCCTGTCGGCTGGTTTTCGCCAGAGGGTCGGCGCTTTGCTCCAACTTGTTGAAGAGCCGGGCTCGCTTTCGAAGAGCACAGAATGGCTCGCGAGGGAGTCATTCTGCGCGTGTTTCTCTGCTCGGAAAAGCTTTCATATTCTGGACGCTCTTCAAGCTGTAACTCTATTTTGTTCTAAGGAATGAAGCGCGTAAACGGTGTTGGGTGAAGCGCCGCACACCGCAGAGGTATATTCGTTTCGCCGGTGTACATCGAGAGGCATTGAGATGATAGAGTTTAGATTCTATCATTCTCGAGGGATTTCTTTTTTATTCGAGAGACTGTCCTTAGACATAACGTATTTACATAATAACGCAAGAGGCGCGTATTGTGTAAACAACAACAACATCAAAATAACTTTACGGAAGCTTCGCACTAAGGGTACCAAGCTGGGAAGAAAATGCGCAATTAGGCAGCCTTCTTTTTTTAATTTTCTTTTTCTCTTTCTATTCTTTTCTGTTTGTTTTTCTGTCTGCTTTCCCTGTTCTTTTCTATTTATTCTTTCTCTCTATGTATCTGTTTTTTATGTATTTCTATTTTTTCCTAATTTTCGCCTTCCTTCTCTTTCTATTTTACGCTTGCTTCCTTTTTTTCCTATTTTTTAGGTTGTTTGGCCTGCGTTAAGCCAAGTGCAGTTTTTCATTTTTTTTACTGGTGATGATAAGTGATCATCATCAAGGCACTCGAAAAGGAAGAGGAGGAAGACTTCTCCCTGGCCCGAGCGCGCGCTCAATGTGATAAACATGGAGTGTTGCGCCAATGGACGACGACAGCCCACAACAGCCTGACGCCCTCAAGCTCTGCGAACTTAAACGTTGAATTCGTGCAAGAAGTCTGTTGAGGATTGGTGGAATTATTACTGCGCGAATGAGTTCAGAATATCCCATATCTTCTAAACATAACAAAAAATTAAAAAAAAACGTGAATGGGTTGGTTAAGAAAGATGGAACAAGTTTTTGCTTCAAGATAGTGAAGAAACACGCCTTCTTGTTTGAGAGCGAAGTCATTATTTAATTGGTTCATGTAAACCACTGTGTTTCTGTAACCCCAGTTTGCAAACAATACCTTCCGTGTACTCAGATTTGGGTGCACGTTAAAGAACCCCAGGTGGTCAAAATTTCCGGAGCCCTCCACTACGGCGTCTCTCATAATCAAATAGTGGGTTTGAGACGTTAAACCCCACAAATCAATCAATGCAAACAATACCTTATCTGCGGCCTTGGTGGTCGCGTAGTTGTGACGTTGTTCTGCAGCAGTCACCGGATTGGCATTCGACCATAAGTAATTGCATTATGTAGGCGGTATAAAAAAGTGCTGAATTTTTTTTTATGTTGGTGTGAGTGTGTGTAAATTCCGATTCATGTGCATGTCGAGGAACCATATGTGGCCAGAATTTTACTAAAGCCTCCTGCTACGGCATGTCTTATAATGTTCTGTTTGTAAGTGTGATTGCAGAACTGTCATAGGACCATCCTTGGGTAGCCTCAGAATAGACCAGTGGACAATTAAGTGGGCTGAAACCAATGCTATTTCAAATAATTGCATTACCAGTAAGCGATGTGGATATAGCCGCTACTGCCATTAGTTATTTTTCATCTTTGGCGATTATTTCGACGTGTCTCGGCTCTGGTCATAATACGTCAAGTGTTCAAAATTTAAGAAGTGTTACTTCTTATCAGTAAGTGTTCAAGTCATAAATCTACTTGGATCTCTGTTTTTAACATTCCAGTCTTTGGTATTCTATTTTAATATGCACACTAAAAACTGTATTTTTCCACCCATACACATAATTGGCAATTGCAACGCTCATTGTAAGATCAGCGCTAAACTTTTCGCATTATAAACCTATTTGGATCTCTTTTTTTTAACATTCTAGTCTTTGGTATTTCGTTTTAATATGCTTACTGAAAACAGTCTTCTTCCACCCATACACATAATTGGGAGTTACAACGCTCGTTTTAAGATCAGCACTAAACTTCTTGCACGTTCCTGTGAGTGAACCTCAACTGAGAGAGAACCGCTCAGTAGAGCCTCTTTCAATCCGATGGGCTTAGCAATATCAGAAAGTGGCATTGTAACAGAATCATTATGCGTCCGTCAAGGCGTAGCCCATCATTTGCTTTATGGGCGTTGCCATAATAACACCATAGGCATCGCCATCACCTTTTCGGTCACGATTCATGCATGGCACAGCTTGGTTGATTGTGTCGAAGCTACGCGATCTTAGTTACATCATCCCTGTAGATTCCATTGCGGGTCAAAGTAGCAGGTATACCTATTCTTCGTGGTTTTTCTAACGAGTGATCCACCTTGCGGAGCAATTGAATACCGATGGTAGTGTTGCACTGTCGGTTGTGTTGCGTCTTTCATAGGGATGATGTTATCGACGGCTGGCAGACGCTTGATCACCATCGTTGACGGAACGGGTTTGGTCGAACGAGCAGGGGGTTCAGTTCACTCGGAGCTCAATTGATTACCTCCAATTTGGGCGCACGTTAAAGAACCCCAGGTGGTCGAAATTTCCGGAGTCTTCCACTATACGGCGTCTTCATAAGCATATAGTGGTTTTGGGACTTTAAACCCCACATATCAATCAATAAATCAATGAATCAATTAATCAATCAACCAATCAATTTATTGCCACGCTACCACTTGACAGATTACCGAACAAGTCGCGTACGCAAACCTTCACTCAATGGCTCAAAGGGATTAAGCATTTTCTTTGGATTCTTGTAAAATGTCTGACGCCTACTCGATCGCACTTTAAAAGCCGCAGCAACGAACTCCTCTCCTAAAGGAAATAAATGTCTGTAGGCTCGTAAAACTATATTTCCTAAAAAAAAACAAATGCTATTAAATCACGTCATAACTCCTGCTACGGCACCAGCATTAGTATGAAAGAAGCTCCCGTGTGTTAGCTGAAACGTAGGTCTTTTATAGCGCGTGTGTTCGGCGTTCACTATTCAACTACTTATAGCACTGTGTGATGTGGGTAAATTATTGCGCATTCACAAACAAGATGAAGAAACTTGAGCGCATTTGGTCGAACACTTAGTTTGTAATTGAATATATTTACGAACGCAAGTGCTGCCTGCCCCGCCGCGGTGGTCTAGTGGCTAAGGTACTCGGCTACTGATCCGCAGGTCGCGGGTTCGCATCCCGGCTGCGGCGGCTGCATTTCCGATGGAGGCGGAAATGTTGTAGGCCTGTGTGCTCAGATTTGGGTGCACGTTAAAGAACCCCAGGTGGTGGAAATTTCCGGAGCCCTCCACTACGGCGTCTCTCATGATCATATGGTGGTTTTGGGACGTTAAACCCCACATATCAATCAAATCAATCAAGCAAGTGCTGCCTGAAAGTCTGGCAACACTGGCGTACTGGCGCGCCGTGACGCAACAAGAGTCTTACTGTGCGAGCGTGTCTGCATTACGCTGAAGAATCTTGTTGCGCGGTCAGCTGCGCGTGCAATGGAGCCGTTTCACCTTTCTTCAGCTTGGTATAGAAATTGAACGATTTGCAGTGGCTCAAACGGGTTAAAGACGAAGGCTCTGCTCCATGCCGCGTATGATAAGCCATGGAGAAATGGCGGTCGACGGTGGTGGGCGGAATTCGTAGGCGGCGACTTCTAAGGCTTATTTTGTGTCGAAATATTCTTGTGCAGTACATTTTTTCATGTACTTGTAGGTAGAATCGACCTCCCACTTCTATTTTCGACCAAAAACCGCAAATTGTTGGGTGACCATGTCATGGCCCCCTTTAAACAGCAGCTGAAGAGAACACAAGCAAACAGTGTTGGACAAAAGCCGTCTTTATTGTCAGAGGAGTGTCTCTTTGAGCAGAAAACTTGCCCCCCCCCCGTTCCTTAACACCTACCCACACCCCTAAAGAAAAACAAACAAACAAACAAATAAACAAACATGGCGGCAAAGGTGGAAGAGAGCCACGCTACCGAGTGCCGGGAAGAGACGCACGAGGAGGCGCGCACCCTTCCCTGGAAGTTGAGTTTTTGTCTACGATGACGTTGACGCGCGCATGACGCGTTATCGAATCGCTAAACGCCCCTGGCACTCGTGCGACGCTTGGGGTCCGTGCTTCAGAGACCATCGTGTCATATACGAACGAGAGACAAGACGAAGACGGGACGACAAGCGCTTACATACAATTTGTTCCTTTTATTGCAGATCCTGAGCACATATAAACACGTCTTTAAAACAGCGAGAGTAAGCAACTGATAGCAGTAATAATTGTCGGGGTCTCAAAACCGCGATACGATTGTGAGGGACGCCATACTGAGGCGTTCCAGTAATTTTTGGTCATCTGGCATTAAGTACGCGCACCTAGCCTCAAACCTTTTGCCTCCATCTAAATGTGGTTTCATCTAAATGAGGCCGGTGTTCGATACAGCGACTTTTGGGTCGCCATTTTAGCACCGAAACCACTAGGCCACCGTGGCGGGGCCGACAGAAAAGAAATGTAATCAAATACGCGCCTCTACGCCAAACAATCTAAGGAAGTATGATCATTGGCGTAAACGACACGTGTCCATTTTACCTTCTTTTTTTTTCTGCCAGTTGCTTCCTCTTGTAGTTTCAGATGCGTGTTCATGAATTCTCGGGATGTGTAAGCGCTGGCTGCGTCCTCGTTCTGCCTCGTGTTCGTCTATTGTGCCATGGTTTCTGAAATACGACCAATCGCCCTCACGTCCAACCTTCCTCCCTTCTGTCGTATCATCGTCGTCTCCACGGGTGACCTATTGAAGATGTTGACTAGTTTGGACAGTGACTCAATGTCACACGACGGCTTTCCACTCGTATATATATTAACTTACCAGCAACGATGTGACACGTGTGACGAGGCGGCTGCAAAACTGGCTCGCGTACGAGATCTCGGAAGGCGCCGACCACCTGGAACGCGTTTACCAACGCAGCGCCGCCGCGTCGCGTTTATGTTTACGGCAGGGACATTGTCGTTTATGCGTTTCTATTGGTTGGAACGCAGATCCAACGGTGCAGGAGATCATAGGCATGTGCAAGAAAAAAAAAGGGGGAGGGGTAAAGCCTGCCCTATACGTTTGCTCTGCAAAAGAGCAATGGCGTGGCTATTCAGGTTTTTGACAATACTGGCTGCCGAAGGACTCTGAAGTTGCATTCCAGCAACTGTTCATTTCATAATTTACTCTCAGACAGTTAAGAACCAATGGCAAGTCATTGCGAGATGTACGTCATCGCTTTGTATTTCTTCACGATTTGTAAAGAATGTTGTCTTTTGGACTGCACGAACACGTGATCGATGCACCTTGCCCCCCTTCTCCTCCTCCCGCCCACCCTTCAATGGGAAACCCTGCGCACGCCCTAGCAGGAGACGGAACGTCTCGCGAAGTGTCACCAAAATATCACGTATAGACACGCACTTGTCCCAGGTTGACCGGTAGCCAAGCCAGTCCCGCGCACGCGCAGTACAGAAAGTGAGAGCTGTCGGCTGATAGTCGGCGTTTTATTGTGTCGTCAGCTTTCTCTTTCTCGCGGCTCCACTGTCTGCAAGCCCAACTCTTCGTCTTTCCGCGCGAAGGTACGCGCGTATTGCGGCCCGAACGCCACCACCACGTCAGACGTCGTGAAGCGGATGCTCAAAATGCACCGAGAAAAGGCGTCCCATGTAGTTCGCTGCTCCACGTCGAGCGGCTGGCTACGCGACGGAGCGGGCGCAGGTACATTGGCGCTAGAGAGTCGTACAGCGAGCCTCGAGCGACAGATTAAAGAGAGAGAGATAGAGAGATGTGGTGTGTGCGTGGAAGAGAGCGCGCATCCATTGGCACTAGCGGCATGTCGTGTCTCATTGGTCCTTCCGGGAAGAGGATGGGGAGGAAGAGCAGACGGCCTTCGTCACGGGCAGACCGACGAGCAGCTCCTCGTTGGGGATGTCGTACACGAGTGTCAGGTGGAACGCCATGTTACACAGGCAGATCACGTACTCGCAGATGGAGAACCAGCTGAATGCTGCGAGCAAGGAGAGAGAAAAGCGGGGAAATCGGATTAAGGACAGAGAGAGACGCACAATGGGTACGAAACTATAGACGTGTCGTTCAATCCCCCCCCCCCCCCCCCCGCCCCTGCCACCACGACGAGCCCTGAACGAAGGGGCTTAGGAAGGAGGCGGAAGGCTGTTACTATTATTGCGGTAGCGGTAAGAGCACACGATAGCGTACAGACGCTTTCGCTGTGTACCGTACATACCGATGTAAAGCCCGCACCACCCTCCCCCCGCTTGCCTCCTTTCAACGCTTCAGTACAGATACAATGCAAGCATTGTCAGGTGTCAAGATCACTTTTACTGACACCACGTGAAGGGTGCACAATGACATAGACACATCAAGCAGCCACTCAAGGCACATCGGGGAGCTTTTGGAGTATCCGTGGGATTTGGGAAGTGGTTAACGAAAACTTAAACTTTTCATTCAATCGACGGCATAGCACGAAGATAGAATGACAGAAATACAAATAACCAATTGAGCGTCCATTTGCATATTCCCTAATGCGAATTGAGGGCGTATTTATCTCTGCCCATGCTTTCATGTGACGATATACTAAGGCAACGAATTCGAGAGGCATGTACGTACGTATGATTACAGAGTACTCTTTTATTTTTTACTTTTATTTAGGAAATATTTATTTTAACACGTTCTTTATTCTGTCTTTTTGTTTTATTATATTTATTTTTGTATTTCATGCTCCGGTTGTGCGAACTGCAGTTAATGGCAGAACACTATTTTTCTTCATGACTCAACGTATCGCACTCTCTTTATCGTCTTATATTTTCATTTTCGGCAGCGACGGCTCCAAAGTGATTCATATTCGACTCATTTTCTCCAATGTATCCCCTATATCAAAAAGAGGATCCAGCAGGTCCTACACGAGTAACTACGGCACTGCACCACCGCGGGACGCTAACTTCACTTACGAACAATTGCGAACCGAGCTGCGGCCACACATAGGTGGAAAAGCAGTTGCGTGGGCGACGAGCTACGCTTTCTTTTTTTCTGGCCGAGCATGTAGGACCACACGACGCAGGAAAGAAGTTCCGCAACGCCGTCACCTGGCCTTTTGTGCCGCCAGCGGCGCGTAAGCGGGCCTCATTTGTAAACGCCTCCGCCGTCACATGCTGAAGCGCTATATCGCCGGCCGACTCGCTTGCAAACGCTCGTCCCTCGGCTCGCCGAATAACCTTTAATGCTAATGACTTAACCGGCGTCGCTTGGGAGGTCCATATATAATCCATTTCGTTCCCCGGTCGATGGGGGCGGCCGTCGTCATCCTGAACGATCGCCACGGCTCTTCGGGCGCGATTTTGATTGGTTGCGGCGTTCCGTGACGTAGACTCGACGAGCTCGCGGAGTTCCGGACGAATCTGTAGCGGATGTGTAGCCAGTGTAGTGGGCTAGTTGGTTGCTATAATTAGTCTTAGCTTACTAAGATGTGGTGCAGCTTTGTGACATATCGGTAGAGAGATAAAAAAAAACCGGAATACGTAACAGACAGGTTCCTTGCTGTACTCTGTTGTTGATGTACCGCGCAACGCTATACAGACGGGGGGCGGCAACGTGTCACACGAGGAGGCGTTTGCTTTTATTTTTTTTTGGTTTCGATTTCCCGTTCGTCGTTTTTAGGTCAAGTTCTTCAACATGTTCGGCTATGCACTGTAGCCTCTTTTCGCCACATGAAGCTTTATACGTAGATCTAAATAACAACAGCGTTCATGCAAAAATCGCAACGTAAGAATGGACCATCTCCCAGTAGAGAACCCTGATGGGATGCGAAGCAGCAGCGGTGCACACGGCGTTGATCCGGTTGAAAAATGCATTGACGCGGGTGCTGGAAGAACGGTTTGAAGCGAAACTCGGTGAAGCGTTCACTTGAGTAAACATTTGTTTGAAACGAAAAGACACGGGAGGCGGGTTGGGTTTCGTGTAAGTTTCATCACCGATAAACGAGCCGAAAGAGTGTTTCCGGAAACTCGACATGCGGCCGGGCGTTGCGGGTGGCGGAGAGAGTGAAACGACAGAGAAGTGTGTTGCGAGCGTGCTCCGGGTGAGAGACAGAGAGAGTGACGTCAGCGTGCACCTGCGAGGGAAGCGTGCGAGGGGAGTGTGACGTCAACGCGCAGTTGCGGCGTGACCTACTTGACAACGCTCGAACACCTGCGGCGAGAGGAACGCGTTGCGGCGCGTTCGTACGGACGCACGAACGCAGGGCGTTACATACGTGAGCCAAAAAGCTGCTTAGCATCTAAAATCACACAGAAAGGAGGACACAGAAAAGGAGCGCTTCGGATGTAGTTCACGGGAGTGACCACTGCTAAGGCCAAGCGTGCTTAATTTAACCATTTTATGGACTTCATTTCCTATGTTTTGCAGTTGGTCTCGTTACTAAGTTTAGAGCCAATAAATCAATAAATGCCGTTTTGTTCTTGCGCAAACGGCTCTCGCTTATTTGATGTTAGCAAAGACTGATTCAGAACCCAATCGCCTTAATTAACATTTCGACTTGAATATATATGTTTAACACTTGTACGTATTGCACCGAAGCACTAGATCTTTTCTTTTCCAATAGTCCCAAAAGCTTTTTTATGGTGACCCAAAAACTGTTTGTGAAGCCCGCGTTGGTGGCAGTATTGAATGATTACCATTAATGTCACAAGAGTCATCTGAAACCACATGCATAAACGTTAGTTCTCTTCATCGAAATTAAAAAAAAAAAAACGCCCGTGTGGAAGCTTCCGCAACGCCTGTACAAACGGAAAGCTGTCAGCGCTTGCCCCGATTTCATCTTGAAAACATGCTTTTTTCGAATTGTTACCGTTTAGAAATAACGCTGGTTCGCTCTGTTAACGCAAACGCTAGGTTGGTTTTAAACTAATATGTCCTATACAACTTGCCGGGACTTGTAAACAGAAGCACACTGAGCGGGACCTGTGCAGGAAAAAAATGTTGTCATATTAAGCTTGTAGGGGCTTGGGAGGAAAACGCTTCTTCACTGAATTCTTGACGTTTTATCCCGCCTCTCTTAAGATGCCGGCCGCGGCTGCCCTCTTAGGAGGGGCAGTATAGAAGGGTTGGTACAGCTTCACTCTTGAGGCACATGAATTACAGCGATTCGTTCTCAACCTCATTGATTCCCATGGTGGCAGAGGTAGCGCATCTTCACGTATACAGTTTCGTTAGGAAGCTCCATGGCCAGACTCACCCAGTTCGACGCAGTGGATTCGGTGCTTGTAGAAGAAGAAGAGCATGCCCGCACTGGCCGCTAGGGTGAGCACCAACAGTGACACTTTGAGGCGACGTGACTTGCGCTCCTGCGACAGCCACGACGAGAAGCGAGAATCACAATTGCCACAGTCGCTAGGAATCGTTACTTTGATGATAGACACGCCGTGTAGTTTTACATTCATCGTGCTGTCCAAACGGCATTCTCAATTAATCAGGACGGCGATGAATCCTGTATATTCAAGCAATTATATTAAATACGTGTTCATTAAACAATGTTCACTAAATCATGTTCATTAAATAATGTTCAATTTATTTTGTGCTTGTAGTGGTAGCATGAAATCTCATGGTCAGCAAGCTTATCGAACTGACGACGAAAGCTCACTGAACGTAAATGTGACTTGAATGCGCGCAAATGAATACTACATATTTTGTTTATTCTGAATTTAGGTTTACGAATACTTTACGAGCTTTGGTCTCATACTCACAAAAAAAAAAGAAGTCTTACGCCATAATTGTACGCCAGAGAAAACTAAAGCAAATCTGAATGCTGGACATAGTAGCAAAATGTTAGCGAATGTCGTCTATTCATGGAAAGATACTCTTACGACCATACAGCTTGGTGAATTAGGGCCCTGGGACAGATTGTGTTCGTAACAGTCCATTTTCACTGGTAGGCGACCTCCATCAATCGTAGGTCCAACATCCCGATTGGCTAAAGCTTTCCCCTAATGAACAATTACAACATGAGAGGCTTCTGTGAATTCACCCTCCGAATAGCCCACTCTGTGTTTGCTTATAGTGAACGGTAGCACCGTCACCACATCAGCCGGCACGCACAGCGTGTGGCTGCTATAGTGTTTCGGCGCAGTATAGAAGAGTTGGTACGGCTTCACCACTTAAGGCACTTGAATTACAGCAATTCTTTTTCAACCTCATGGTGGATTCCCATGGTGGCCGAGGTAGCGCACCTTCACGTATACAGTTTCGTTAGGAAGCTCGACCGTCGAGCGTCGTCTCGACCGTCAGCAAGTGACTGTCGAGACGACGATACCAAACACGGTCGGGCATCGTTTATCATCGCCCTGAGAATTACCATCTCGGTGTCGTCCTTGTGGGCGCACATGTGCACCGCCAGACACGTGCCGACCATGTAAAGCAGCGACGAGATCATGAAGACGATGAAGATCTTCTCGTGCACCGGGTAGTTCTCGCGGTTGGAGACGTACGTGACGCCGACCAGGGACAGGGCCTCGGCCAGGTGCAGCGCGTAGTTGGCGCGCGTCAGCCGCGAGAAGAGCGCCCTCTTGGGAGCCGCCACCAGGGCGGCGCGGCGAGCGAAGTACCGCGGGTAGAGCGACGCGAGCAGAATCCGGGGCCCCGTGTGCAGCGCGACGCCCATGCGCCAAATGTAGCGCTGCGGAGAGATGCCCGTGATGGCGCTCACCGACGGGCAGAAGTTGTACACCTGCGCATCATCCACGACTATCATCAGTGACAATCGACGAATGACGAAGAGCATCAACGAAAACGAAAGCCTGCATTTGATGAAGAGAGAGAGAGATAGCAATTCTTTATCGATTATACCCGGTAGATGTTAGCCTCGTTCGTCGTCCGACTTGCTACTTCGGTGCTGGTGTCGACTGTTGCATATACGATGATAAAATATGTACACAAATGACCCGTATCCACGCATGCACATGTACGCAAAACAGTTATTTGTGACGTTTCGTTAAGGTATACGTAGCCCTCAGAAACACCAACAGTGAATTTGTATAGTCTCACATAGAGCGTGTAGCATATGCACAGAATCGCACATATCACCTTAAGAAAATAGAACATAATATAAGGAAGTTATATAACGAAGATATAACGCGCTTAATATAACAAAATGATTCCAGTGATTACCAATTAAAAACAGTTGAATTATTAATGTCACATTTTCGGTTGGTAATACTTAAGCGATTTCATGTGCACTATGTATGCGTGACTACACATATACAACTTTACGTAATCCGTGCCTTCATTTGTCTTCTAGAGCCTGTTACACTTTGTCCATTCTGCAGTGTTGTGAAATGGCGTTGCATCTTGGCTTGAGATGCTAAGACAGTTCGTAAGATGATGGAACCCGCCAGTCATGCACACTGTCAATGGCCAATCTACTAATTTAAAGAAGTGTCTGTATTCTTTAAACAGGCGTCACATGTAAGCACATGTCGGGCGCGATTATTTTAAGAGTGCGTGAAATGAATTCCGGAACGAGAACGTGATCAATTCTGCAAACGCGCCCCCTACAAAGATCCCAACGTATTTGTCAGGTCCCCTATCATCCAAAAACGCCAGTTCGCGTGCAGTCCAACACTGAAACGCTCGCAAAGTCTGACGTCGCATTTGAAAACGAAAGGTTAGCACGACAGCGGGAACTCATTCTCCTATATTTCTCGCCCGTGCTTCGCACAAAACGTACACACACAAACACGCTTCTCGGAGCAACAGTCGGAAGTTCCCCGTACGAAAGCTCGCGCGCGGCTTTTATCGAGACACGAAGTTGAATGCAAAGCGAAATTTCGGTATATACTGTAACGACAAAAGAGAGTCTAACAACGGAAGAAGTAAGGGACAATAAAACGAAGAAGAAATGGCATACCTATTTATCCTTGGGGCAACGTTGCAAGATTGCTGCGGTTCAGCACTGCGGCAGCACAACTACACGAACACGGTTGTAATAAAGAAACAAGAAAAAGAAGAACGCGCACTTTGATACACCAGCGGATTGAAAAAAAAATAAAAGCTACTGGCGGATGCACCATTTCGGCGAGTGAAAAAGCGCAGGCAGTTTCGTAAGCAATTTCGTGAGGCCGCTGCGCGTTCGACCGAAACCACCCTTTCATTTGTTTTTATTTTACATTTTGTGCATGTTTTCCCGTTCTGCAACGGCCCGCAGCTACATTTTTTTTTTTTTGCTGCCGCAAGCACTTTGATGATTGAGGGGAAAAATTTTTCTCTTCGCTATATGGAGATACATTGGGCAGAGCTTGGACCTATCACCACATGGTCTGACGGCTTCTCGGCAGATTGAAGTCGACTATGTGGCCGGCAGCTATCAGGGCTTCAAGGTGCGCTCGCAAACTTTTTACAGCGACGTATTCTGTTGAGAGCCTGAGTTTCTGAAGCATGTCTCGGGTCAGTATAAAATAGAAAAAAATGTTAATTAAAATGCTGAAAAATGAATATACCGTGTAATAAACAAGGACGAACGAAGTATATCGTATAAGAGTATACTTCGATTGATTGATTGATTGATTGATTGATACGTGGGGTTTAACGTCCCAAAACCACTATATGATTATCAGAGACGTCGTAGTGGAGGGCTCCGGAAATTTCGACCACCTGGGGTTCTTTAACGTGCACCAAAATCAGAGCACACGAGCCTACAACATTTCCGCCTCCATCGGAAATGCAGCAGCAGCAGCCGGGATTCGATCCCGCGACCTGCGGGTCAGCAGCCGAGCACCTTAGCCACTAGACCACCGAGGCGGGGCAAGAGTATACTTCGGACGAAATACACAATAGAGAATTAATTGTGTAGAAAGTGTATGAAGCCTCACGTATTCACTCATATAGTACAGACACTCGGTACACGTTAGCCATTATGGTTTACAATTGAAATGAGTTTTCGTCTGCTCCAAGTGAACATGGATTATGGTCTGTTTTTATACCGACCATACAATATGACTGCCTCGGGTCAAGCGACAGTTCACACGAGTATGACTTCGTGATCATATCAGTACGAATTCGTGCAACTACACCGAGTTTATTTCTCCGGAGAACAGGGACTGTGGACGCCACTCCACACCAGGCGCGAAAGACAAAGACTTCACACGAGTCCCCAGTGTCCGCGTCTATGTTCGCGGGGCTCATTTAATTAAAGCGAACACCGCCTGCACTTAATGCGAGCCGAGCGAGGTCCGGCGCCGTCGTGTCAACAGACCGACCTACGCGGCAGCTTCAACTTACGCTCGCTGTCACTACTAAAGTCCTTCCTTATCTCTTCAGGGGAAGCGAGGGTGCACTTAGCGGCACTCCCCCCCCCCCCCCCCCAATACAGCATCGGGCTTGTTATGACAATCTGCAGAAAGCACTCCTAGGTTCCCGAGAGTAATCTCAAGGTTTATTCTCTTATCTGTGTCGAGTATTTGCTCGGCTCCCTTTTCGCACTTTATCTATACACTATAGGCGACGCCCGAAAGCGGAATGTGTCGGCTCCTCGTTCATTAAAGCGGGTAAAAAAACCATTAATTAAGATTGCCGGACAAGTAGACGGCGAATGGGATAGAAGAGAGGGATGATTTGCCTTCGGCTACGAGTCTTAGGACGAATAGTAAGAACAAGCAAGAGAATCCGCTGCGCTAATTAGCTGCCTAAGGGAGCTCTCGCGCAATAAAATGTCGGTCGACGAAGGTGAAACAAAGGGAAAAGCCTGCACTCCCACGAGTGTAAGTTTGTTAAAAAAATTAGTTAATCTATTATTTTCGGAAGATGCGAACTGGGGAGAACGAAATTAATTTAATCGCAGAGGATGTGAGTAAAAGTGAAATTAGTTGAACCGTAGAGGACGTCTGCAAACGAGGCGCTCACAATCGGAGATTTTTTTACACATGCACCTCCCCGCCCTCTTATCTCTATGTTTAAACACACACCCACACGCACACACACACACACGCACACATGCACGCAGCGTTGCCGGATACAATTCACTGAACCATGATGGTAGCTAGAATGTGTAACACCCATTTCTGTTCTAACTTGAGAGCCCGTGATGGTGCCAGATGCCCTCATAGTGTCGTCTGCAATATGTAGCATTCATGTTCGTTTAGAGGCTGAAACGTAAATCAAAGAGAACTATCAAAGTCAAAACTACCACTGCTTTAAATTGAAAAAAATCTGCTTGCTTTACTTGGAATTTTAAACAAAGAACAGTTCATATTTATTAGCGGAAAAAAATCAAGGACGAACTTATTCCGTGATTTTAATTTACGCCAAAATCACTGCATCGGTGCATTCGTGTATCGGACGTCATTGAATTCGAAATTTCTTGCGTATGATAAATCCGCTTTCATTTCCTGTGCTGTTGATTTCTTTCTTTCTTTTAACACGATAGTGTTTTATGCCGGGGTCCAACACGGCTCCGTGACGTACTTCCGTCACGTATATGACGTTGTAAAATATTTACAAACAGATGGAAAAAATAAACGACGACAAGTTTGGCAGCGGGGCGTCGAACCAGTGACCTCGCGCTCTTCAGCGCGCGACGCTAACCAATACACCACAGAACGACCCTTATCAAACAGGTTAACCTGTGTACCGCTGGCGGTCCTCAGAGCTAGGAAGCTTCAGCGCGTTTTAGTAAACAATAGCGAGATGCCACGACGGTCGCGCGTTGGTCGCGCGCTCTACAATTCGTCATGCAGCCCCTCCCCCTCCTCCTCCACACGTCCCTGTACACGGGCGCCTCACCGCAGTGGTCTAGTGGCTAAGGTACTCGGCTGCTAAACCGCAAGTGGCGGGATCAAATCCCGGCTGCGGCGGCTGCATTTCCGATGGAGGCGGAAATGTTTTAGGCTCGTGTGCTCTGATTTTGGTGCAGGTTAAAGAACCCCAGGTGGTCGAAATTTCCGGAGCCTTCCACTATGGCGTCTCTCATAATCATATGGTGGTTTTGGGACGTTAAACCCCACATATCAACGGGTGCCTCCACATGGCGAGGTCAAAGTGCGTGCAGATGTGTTTCTAGCGTGGTGGCTCACTCGAGCGCGCGCTCATCTCGAGATTAGATTAGATAAATAACCAACAAGCCCACCGTGCAACCTAAGAGTGATTTGTACCTCTTGTGTTTCTACCGCAAGTTTTCTTTGAGGTTATAGTAGTTAAAGAAAGCACGAACGTCAATTCGCTTGCTGCCACGGCCGCGTTTACAAAAAGGAGCGCGCTGCTCACACACGAAGTAAGAATTGCGATAGTTGTTTGTCCGCGCTCGTCCTGTGTATGCCCACTTCGTGCGTGCATTCTGCTTGAGGTGTGCGCTAAAAGTTGCGAGCTGCTTGTCGTTCTCCGCGTGATATTGCAATTTGTTACTACAGCATTCATTCCCTCGCCCTTGTGGCGAAAACAACGCACAACGAATGCTCAACTACATCTGCGAGGACGCGTTTCACTTTGGTGTTACACCGATTCCTACGAAGAGGGATCAACCATGTTCTTTCTTTCTTTCGAATAAAAGACAGTGATAGTCTACCATATTAATTTGAAGAAAACGTGTATAATCGACTCATTTCACACCAGATGCTTCAGTCCAAAATTCGATTATCTCTTTTTTTTTTCTAAATTGCCGACGTTTATCGCATCGTAAAAAAAAGTATTCTCGGTATACTTCGTGTCCAGCTTTTTTCCTTCGTCTAAGCGAATCGC